CCTCCAGGTGTTTTGGACTTCAACTCCCAGAAATCCCAGCCAGATTCCTGATGGTCAGCAAAAACCATCAGAAGACACTGTATTTTTTGTTGGTTGTGGGGGTTCTGTGTGGGAAGTTTGACTCAATTCTATCATTGGTGGGGTTCAGAATACTCTTTGATTGCAGGTAAACTATAAATCCCAGCGACTACAACTCCCAAATGTCAAGGTCTATTTCCCCCAAACTCCACCAGTGTTCACATTTGGGCATATTGAGTATTTGTGCCAAGTTCTGGCCAGATGAATCATTAGAAAACACATCCACAATCTCATTTTGAAGGCATCTGGAAAGCTTTGGTTTGTTTAAGGAAGCAGAATATCATATTCTACTTTGAGTTGTTTGGTCCATTAACACATTTGATTTCTCATGGGTTCATCTGTGTGATTGTTTTATGCCCAAAAATTGCATTGGTAAGAAGCAGACAAGGTCGATTGTGTCCCCATCCACACTGCCATATAAAATTTAGATCAGTGTTTCTCAACTTAGGGATTGGGATCCGGGGGGGGGGGGGGAGGGGGTTTCAAAGGTGTCACCAAAGACCATCAGAAAACACAGCATTTTCCATTGATCATGGGGGTTCTGTGTGGGAATTTTTGCCCAATTCTATCGTTGGTGGGGTGCCCTTTGAATGGAGGTGAACTATAAATCCCAGCTACTACAACTCCCAAATGTCAAGGTCTATTTTCCCCAAACTCCACCAGTGTTCACATTTGGGCATATTGAGTATGGTCCAGATCCATCATTGTTTGAGTCCACAGTGCTCTCTGGATGTAGGTGAACTACAACTCCAAAACTCAAGGTCAATGCTCACCAAACCCTTCCAGTATTTTCTGTTGGTTATGAGAGTTCTGTGTGGTTCAATTCCATCGTTGGTGGGGTTCCGAGTGCTCTTTGATTGTAGGTGAACTATAAATCCCAGCAACTACAACTCCCAAATCAGAAAATCAATCTTACCCCAACCCCACCAATATTCAAATTTGGGCATATCGGGTATTTGTGCCAAATTTGGTTCAGTGAATGAAAATACATCCTACAGATCAGATATTTACATTGCAATTCATAACAGTAGCAAAATTACAGTTATGAAGTAGCAACAAAAATAATTTTATATTTGGGGATCAGCACAACACGAGGAACTGTCTTAAGGGGTCATGGCATTAGGAAGATTGAGAACCATTGCCCTAAAGGGTGACTGTAAAAGGAACTAAAGTGTTATCCATTGCACCAATAATGTAGCATTATTTCTGTTGTGTTGCCCTGCTTTTGAAACGTAACTTTGTCCCACTTTTCACTGGGATCCTAATGAAGTTAGAATTGTATCTCTCTCGCACACACTGCTGTGATTTTTAGATAATGTGATGCTTTGCGGAGACTGTGGCTTCAGGGAAGAGCGGCTGCCTGGGGAGAGTTATGTCCCAGGTTCAACCGAAACGAGGGTGAAAATCTGCACTCGATACCGACAGAGATGAATGTGGCCTGCCTTGCGCAAGGAGGCTTCTCGTGCTCCCGTTGGTTCGGCTCCGCAGCCCAAGCGACAGCCACTTCCAGTTCGAACCAGCTTTGCGGCACAAACAAGAGCCGGCTCCTTCCGCAGCAGCAAAGCACCAAAAGCTCCCTCCAAGGATAACAATCCAAGCAGACACGTTACGGTTGCTGGAACGCATCTCTTTCATGCCTAGGATCCACTCCAGGGTCTCAAACTATAACTATCCTGGCTCCCAAGCATTCAAGCAGTAAGTGTAGATCAGGTATGGGCAAAATTAGGCCCTCCAGGTGTTTTGGACTCCAACTCCCACCATTCCGCTTAAGCGGCTGAGGGGGGAAAGGAAGGGGCCTGAGGCTGTTAGGAATGGTGGGAGTTGGAGTCCAAAACACCCGGAGGGCCTAATTTTGCCTGAGCCTTCTGTAGATGCATTCAGTCCTCCTAAAAATGGAGAGCAAGTGAGCATGCTTGTAACCCAAAGCATCACATTGAGAAGAGTGCATCTCGCATGTAGCACGGACACCGTTTGACAACCCACATCTATGTCTCGGTACTACACAATCCTGAGAGTTGTGGGCCGAGGCAGAGAAGGAGACAGACTTGGTCGAACTACAACTCCCAGGATGATGGCACTCCATTCATTCATTCATTCATTCAGACGAGATTCCCTATTTCCCTGCCTCCCTCAACCAGGTCCTGTGAGAAAGAGGTAAAGGCATGCAGCATGATTGGCACTTATGAGTACATTTGCATAAATAAAGCATATTTGCATAAATAAGGATTTCGCATAAGGGGGCATATTTGCAAAAATGGGCATATTTGTATAGAAGGACATAATTGCATAAATTGGCATTATATATATATATATATATATATATATGGGCATATATAGCATGTACATATTAGTATTTGCATATATTCGTAATACTTGCATAAATACGACATATTTGTATAAATAAGGATTTCGCATAAGGGGGCATATTTGCAAAAATGAGCATATTTGTATAGATGGACATAATTGCATAAAGTGGTATTTTTATAAGTATATATATATATATATATATATATGGGCATATATAGCATGTACTTGTCTATATTAGTATTTGCATATACTCGTAATATTTGCATAAATAAGACATATTTGTATAAATAAGGATTTCGCATAAGGGGGCATATTTGCAAAAATGGGCATATTTGTATAGATTGACATAATTGCATAAAGTGGCATTTTATATATATGTGGAGGGGCATATATAGCATGTACTTGTATATATTAAGTATTTGCATATATTAGTAATACTTGCAGAAATAAGACATATATTGCATAAATTGGTATTTTGCATAAACAGGCCTATTTGTATAGATGGACAAAATTGCATAACATGGCATGTTTTCATATATGGTCACATATAGTAATTTTTGCATATATTAGCATGCATTTCCATATATTACTTTTTAAAGTCGTGTCAGGAGCGACTTGAGAAACTGCAAGTTGCTTCTGGTGTGAAAGAATTGGCTGTCTGCAAGGATGTTGCCCAGGGGGTGCCTGGATGTTTTGATGTGTTACCATCCTTGTGGGAGGCTTTTCTCATGTCCCTGCATGAGGAGCTGGAGCTGACAGAGGGAGCTGATCCGCACTCTCCCCAAATTTGAACCTGTGACCTGTCAGTCCTGCTGGCACAAGAGTTTAACCCACTGCGCCCCTGGGGGGGGGGGCTCCTATATATTACTATTATTTGCATAAATACATTTGCATAAATGGGTAATTTTTCATAAGTGGGCTTATTTGTATAGATGGACACAACTGCATAAAGTGGTAAGTTTTCATAAATGTATATAGTTTTCATAAATATATGAAAGTGTGTTTGTGTGTGTGTGTGTGTGTTTTTTGTCATGTCATGAGCGACTTGGGAAACTGCAAGTCGCTTCTGGTGTGAGAGAATTGGCCTTCTGCAAGGACGTTGCCCAGGGGACACCCGGATGATTTGATGTTTTTATCATCCTTGTGGGGGGCTTCTCTCATGTCCCCACATGAGGAGCTGGAGCTGATAGAGGGAGCTCATCCGCCTCTCCCCGGATTCGAACCTGTAATCTGTCGGTCTTCAGTCCTGCCGGCACAGGGCTTTAACCCACTGCGCCACCGGGGGCTCCTATATATTACTATTATTTGCATAAATACATTTGCATAAATGGGTATTTTGCATAAGTGGGCTTATGTGTATGTTGTTCATTCATTCAGTCGTCTCCGACTCTTTGTGACCTCATGGATCTATTTGTATAGATGGACACAATTGCATAAAGTGGCAAGTTTTCATAAATGGGCATATGTATATATATATATAGAGAGAGTATGCGATTTGCATATATTAGCATTATTTGCATGTATTAGCACATTTGCATAAATAAGACATTTTTACGTAAATAGGCCTATTTATCTAAGGTAAAGGTAGTCCCCTGACACTAAGTCCCGTCATGTCTGACTCTGGGCTGTGGTGCTCATCTCCATTTCTAAGCCGAAGAGCCAGCGTTGTCCGTAGACACCTCCAAGGTCATGTGGCCGGCATGACTGCATGGAGCGCCGTTACCTTCCCGCCGGAGCGGTACCTATTGATCTACTCACATTTGCATGTTTTCGAACTGCTAGGTTGGCAGAAGCTAGTGCTGACAGCGGAAGCTCACGCCGCTCCCGGAATCGAACCTGCGACCTTTCGGTCAACAAGCTCAGCAGCTCAGTGCTTTAACCCACTGCGCCACCGGGGGGGGGGCTATTTATCTAGAGATGGACAATTGCATAAAGTAGCATATTACGTATATATGGGCACATATAGTCTGTGCATATATTAGTATTAGTATAAATGATTATTTTACATTGTATTGTTGAAGGCTTTCATGGCTGGAATCACTAGGTTCTTGTAGGTTTTTTCGGGCTATAGGGCCATGTTCTAGAGGCATTTCTCCTGACGTTTCGCCTGCATCTATGGCAAGCATCCTCAGAGGTAGTGAGGTCTGTTGGAATAGGAAAATGGGTTTATATATCTGTGGAATGGCTGGGGTGGGGCAAAGAGCTCTTTTCTGCTGGAGCTAGGTGTGAATGTTTCAGCTGACCACCTTCATTAGCATTTGAAGGCCTGGCTGAGCCTGGGAAAATGTTCTGTTGAGAGGTGTTAGGAGAAATGCCTCTAGAACATGGCCCTATAGCCTGAAAAAAAACCTACAAGAACCTATTATTTTGCATTATTTGGGCCTATTTGTATAGAGGGACATGCAAAAGTGGTGTGTTTTTATATACAGGCATTAGCATGCATTTGCATATATTTGCATTATTAGCATAAATTAGCATGCATTTGCATTTTTTTCCCCATGGAAAGCCCCAAAAAGGAAAAGGGGAAAGTGGAGACACATATACACACACCGTGCACCCCCTCCTCCCTTTAGTTTGACCCCCCCCCTTCTCCACAGCACCCCATCCCAACTCGCCTCGGCCTTGGGCCTGTTCTGCAGCAGGTGCTCCAGGTAGAGGTCCGAGAGGGCTGTCCGCATGCGGCTCGCGCCGTCGCCTGCCTGCCCGCCTTTGAGCGTCATGCTGCCGGGGGGATCAATGGAGGGATGGGTGGATGGATGGGGATAGCCCTGCTCTCTTCCTCTCCTGGCCCCGATCCCTGGGGCGTCCCGAGGCGGAAAGGGCTGCGGCGGGGCTGGGCTCCGGGGAAGAAGGCAGGCAGGGAGGCAGGGAGGCGAGAGGGAGGCGGGATGGAGGCGGCTCTCGGGGAGGAGGCAGCCCGGGAAGCGCCCCTCCCGGTGCCTCCGTTTGGCGCAAAGGCAACGCAGGAGGAGCAGGAGGAGGAGGAGGAGGAGACCCCGGGGTGACCCTCAGCGCCTCTGCCTTTGCCCGCAACGCGGCAGCGCCCCCTGCCGGCCACTGCTGCATCTACACCCTCTGCACATAAATATCATATACAGGCAATTGATTCTCAACTGTCCTAATGCCGCCACCCCTGAATACAGTTCCTCCTGTTGGGGTGACCCCAGAGGCGGCCCTAGGTAATTTTCAACAGTAAACAAAAAATATCCCCCCCCCCCCCCAACCAGGGAGCATACAACGCCCTTGTTGTCCCAGCTCCACTGGCTGCCGATCTCCTACCGGGCCCAATTTAAGGTGCTGGTGTTATCCTACAAAGCCCTAAACGGTTCCGACCAAAATACCTTTCGGACCGCATCTCGGCCTATGAGCCCACGAGGGCCTTGAGATCGTCTGGGGAGGCCCTTCTCTCGATCCCGCCTGCCTCACAGGCACGTCTGGTGGGGACGAGAGAGAGGGCCTTCTCGGTGGTGGCCCCCCGGCTGTGGAACACCCTCCCTGTTGACATCAGACAGGCGCCCTCCCTTATGGCTTTCCGTAAAAGCCTAAAGACCTGGCTATTTGAGAAGGCATTTAACTGAGTGCTACATTGACTGGTAAGGACAACTGGAATGGTATACGGATTACGAGATTGGTTATGATTCTATGTTGTGACGATGTGGATTAGCTAGTGTAATTTAGATTAATGTGTATTATTGATATGTTGATTTCTTGTTGTGCCTTATTGTAAACTGTTTTTATATATTGTACACCGCCGCGAGTTGCCCTAGGGCTGAGAGCGGCGGTCAACAAATGCAGCAAATAAATAAATATATATATATATATATTTTCTGTTCGTCGTGGGAGTTCTGTGTGCCATATTTGGTTCAATTCCATCATTGGTGGAGTTCAGAATGCTCTTTGATTGTAGGTGAACTATACATCCCAGTAACTACAACTCGCTTATGTCAAGGTCTATTTTCCCCCAAGAGCGCCTCAAGATCACCCCTGGGCAAAATCAACTATACTGCAAATGCATACTTTGCGTAATGGGTTGAGCCGCCCCTGGGTGACCCCCAACCACAACATTTTTTTCGTTGCTACTTCACAACTGTTATTTTGCTCCTGTTATGAATCGTCATGTAAATATCTGATCTGCAGGATGTATTTACATTCACTGGACCACATTTGACACAAAATATGCCCAAATCTGAATACTGGTGGGGTTTGTGGGGGCATTGATTTTCTCAAATGGGAGTTGTAGTTGCTGGGATTTATAGTTCACCTACAATCAGAGATCATTCTGAACTCCACCAACAATGGATTTGAACCAATATTGTGTCTAATTCTGGGCACCACAGCTGAAGAGAGATATTGACAAACTGGAATATATCCAGAGGAGGGTGACTAAAATGATCAAGGGTCTAGAGAACAAGCCTGATGAAGAGCGGTTTAAAGTGCTGGGCATGTTTGGCCTGAAGAAGACAAGGCTGAGAGGAGACATGATAGCTATGTATAAATACGTGAGAGGAAGCCACAGGGAGGAGGGAGCAAGCTTGTTTTCTGCTGCCCTAAAGACTAGGATGTGGAACAACGGCTTCAAACTACAAGAGAGGAGATTCCATCTGAACATTAGGAAGAGCTTCCTGACTGTGAGAGCCATTTGGCAGTGGAACTCTCTGCCCCGGAGTGTGGTGGAGGCTCCTTCATTGGAGGCTTTTAAACAGAGGCTGGATGACCATGGCCGTATAGTCCGAAAAAACCTACAACAACCCAGAGGCTGGATGGCCATCTGTCAGGGGTGCTTTGAATGCAATATTCCTACTTCTTGGTAGGGGGTTGGACTGGATGGCCCATGAGGTCTCTTCCAGCTCTAGGATTCTATGATTCTCACTTGGCATACCAAACTCCCATGACCAACAGAATATACTGGAAGGGTTTGGTGGGCATTGGCCTTGAATTTCAGGAGTTGTAGTTCGGCTACATCCAGAGAGCACTGTGGACTCAAACAATGATGGATCCGGACCAAACTTGGCATGAATACTCTCTATGCCCAAATGTGAACACTGGTGGAGTTTGGGGAAAATATAACTTGACATTTGGAATTTATAGTTGCTGGGATTTATAGTTAATCTACAATCAAAGAGGATTCTGAACTCCACCAAGGATGGACTTGAACCTCACTTGGCACACAGAACGCCCATGACCAACAGAAAATACTGGAAGGGTTTGGTGGGCATTGACCTTGAATCTTGGGAGTTGTAGTTCGCCTACATCCAGAGAGCACTGTGGACTCGAACAATGATAGATCTGGACCAAACTTGGCATGAATACTCTCTATGGCCAAATGTGAACACTGGTGGAGTCTGGGGAAAATATACTTTGACATTTGGAATTTATAGTTGCTGGGATTTATAGTTCACCTACAATCAAAGAGGATTCTGAACTCCACCAAGATTGGAATTGAACCAAACTTGGCACACAGAACTCCCATGACCAACAGAAAATACTGGAAGGGTTTGGTGGGCATTGACCTTGGGTTTGGGAGTTGTAGTTTGCCTACATTCAGAGATTACTGTGGATTCAACCAATGATGGATCTATATATTGTTGAAGGCTTTCATGGCCGGAATCAGTGGGTTGTTGTAGGTTTTTCGGGCTCTATGGCCATGAGGCGTTCTCTTCTGATGTTTTGCCTGCATCTATGACAAGCATCCCCTGAGAATGCTTGCCATAGATGCAGGCGAAACATCAGGAGAGAATGCCTCTAGAACATGGCAATAGAGCCCGAAAAAACCTACAACAACCCAATGATGGATCTGGACCAAATTTGGCAGGGATACTCAATATGCCCAAATGTAAACACTGGTGGAGTTTGGGGAAAATAGACCTTGACATTGGGAGTTGTAGTTGCTGGGATTTATAGTTCATCTACAATCAAAGAGTATTCTTAACCCCACCAACGATAGAATTGAACCTAACTTGGCACACAGAACTCCCATGACCAACAGAAAATACTGATGGTCTTTGGTGACACCTCTTCGCACCCGCCCCAGGGGTCTCAACCCCCAGGCTGAGGAACACTGTCCTAGGAGGACTCTTTAGCCTTCTCTGTCTGAAGCTAAAAGTATAGGACAAAAGGGATCCTCTCGCCTTCGCAGGAGTCTACCGTATACCATACAACATGTGGACAATTTCAACAGAAAGGAGGAAATCATGAAAATGAACAAAATTCCCTGGATTCCATTACATTGAAGCTCCTATCTACACTGCCATATAATGCAGTTTCAGAATGCAGATTAATTGCATCGAGTTGGATTATATGAATCTATGCTGCTATGTAATGCAGTTCAATGTTGTTCATCTGCATTGTATGGCAGTGTAAACAGCACCTGAGACATGGCAGTTCAAATAGTGTCAAACTGTATTAATTCTACAGTGCAGATGCACCCTGTAATCAGCTTTGAAATGCAGATCTTTTGTATTCTGTCTTCTAATAGGTTTTAAACGGCCTTGGCTGTGAAAATGGTTTGTTATATCTTAAAATAGCATTGGTAATTACTAGTGTGCCAGCCGCTCATAGAAATTATTCAATGTGAATGGACCCCAGAAGAAAACTGGAAAGAACAGGAACAAAAACTGGAACAATGTGTTTTCGAAGGCTTTCATTGCTGGAGTTGCTGAGCATTTTTTGGGCTGTATGGCCATGTTCCAATAGTATTTTCTCCTGACGTTTTGCCCACGTCTGTGGAAGGCATCCTCAGAGGTTGTGAGGTCTGTTGGAAACTAGGCAAGTGGGGCTGATATATCAGTGGAATGTCTAGGGTGGGAGAAAGAACTCTTGTCTGTTGGAGGCAAGTATGAATGTTCCAATTGGCCACCTTAATTAGAATTGAATGGCCTTGCAGCTTCAAAGCCTGGTTGTTGCTGCCTGGGGAAATCCTTTGTTGGGAGGAGTTAGCTGACCCTAGGACCAGCTAACATCTCCTAACAAAGGATTCCCCTAGGCAGCAACCAGCAAGGCTTTGAAGCTGCAAGGCCATTCAATTCTAATCAAAGTGACCAATTGCAACATTCGCACTTTCCTCAAATGCACAAGAGTTCTTTCTCCCACCCTGGACATTACACAGATATATAAACCTTACTTGCCTAGTTTCCAACAGATCCTTCAACCTCTGAGGATGCCTGCCGTAGATGTGGGCGAAATGTCAGGAGAGAATGCTTCTGGAACATGGCCATGCAGCCTGGAAAACTCACGGCAACCCAAAATCTGAAACATTTCAATCCAAATTGAAACTGAATCCAGACAAGACAGAGGTTCTACTGGTCAGTCGTAAGGCCGAACAGGGCATAGGGTTACAGCCTATGTTAGATGGGGTTACACTCCCCCTGAAGACGCAGGTTCACAGCTTGGGAGTGATCCTGGACTCATCGCTGAGCCTGGAACCCCAGATCTCAGTGGTGGCCAGGAGAGCTTTTGCACAATTAAAACTTGTGCGCCAGCTGCGCCCGTACCTTGGGAAGCCGGATCTGGCCACGGTGGTCCACGCTCTTGTTACATCCCGATTAGATTACTGCAAGGCACTCTACGTGGGGTTGCCTTTGAAGACTGCTCGGAAACTCCAACTAGTCCAGCGGGAGGCAGCCAGATTGCTCACCAGGGCGACATACAGGGAGCATACCACCCCCCTGTTGTGTCAGCTCCACTGGCTGCTGATCCAGTTCCAAGCACAATTCAAAGTGCTGGTTTTGACCTACAAAACCCTATACGGTTCCGGCCCAGTGTATCTGTCCGAACGGATCTCCCTCTACGTCCCACTCCAGAGTCTAAGATCTTCTGGGGAGGCCCTGCTCTCGACCCCGCCTCTATCACAAGTGAGATTGGCGGGGACGAGGAGCAGGGCCTTCTCGGTGGTGGCCCCCCACCTGTGGAATTCACTCCCCGGGGAAATTAGATCTGCAACATCGCTCCTTTCCTTTAGGAAAAAACTAAAAACATG